GCACCAAGCAGGTACTTCATAAAATTAGCCTCATTTTACAGATGCCCACGCTGAGGCTCTGGAGTTTATGCTTTGCCCCGGGTCACACAGATTGAAGAGCTGGAATCTAGGCAGTTTGGAATCTAGAGCCCCTACTTTTAGCCTTGGGGCTATACTACCCTGAAGATAAGGAAAAGGCAGTTGCTTGGAAGTGTTGTGGGTGAAGGGTGGGTGGCAGGGTGGAGCCTGAAGCAGAGGCGGGTCTGAGGACCATGACCCAGTGCAGTCAGAGGGCAGTCAGAGGGCTTCTGGGAAGCAGTATGTGGTGGGATTTTCAGGCTGAGGATAAACTGACCTTCTGAGGAACCCTCATCTGAAGAGGCCAGACCCAGCTTTCTGGGGGCTCACAACGCTGAAAGGACTGGGCACCTCATAAGCTGCAGGCCTCTCAAAGACCCAGCAAGGTACCTGTGAAAGAGCAGGTCAGGATTCCCTCCTTGAGCTCCAAAAAGCAAACGAGATACAGAGAATGTCTTCACACAAGTCGTAGTGCCCCAGTGTGCCGAGTCTGATCCTATAGCTCCCTCGGGGGGAGGGGATGATGCCAACTGCCCTTCTGTCTCCATCCAGGGCACGCTCAAGCCCCCTGACTTAGCCCACATCACAGGGGACTTGAGGGAGACCTGAGGTCCAGGTCAGTGCCTCCCTCCTGGTGGTCTTGCTGCCAGTCATCCCGGGGCCCAGCTTAGCCGTAGGCTCCAGCTTATCACAAGCCTTGGGCTCCTTGATTCAGAACTGCCTTATTCTGTCAGCCACTAGGACTTTCTGGGAGTTATCAGGCATTACGCTGAGGTTCAGGTTGAAATTACTCTTCCCAAAGCCATTGACACCAGGCACCTGTATTCTTCCTGATTGTCCTGTAAAATCTCCAGAGCCAGCTTCACTTCCAGGAACCCAGACTAAGTCATGTTCTGTTATTCTACCTCAGGGCCTTTGCACTGGCTTTTCTGTCTATCTGCGATGCTCCTCCCTTATCGTTGCCTGGCTGGCTCCTTCTTGTCATTTAGATCTCAGCTTCAATTTTTCCTCCTCAGAAAGGCTTTCCCTGTCCACTCAACCCTTTCTAACCCACCACCTAACACGTCTGGTATTTTGTCTTATTACTTTTCTACCCCATAGAATGTAAGCTCCATAAGTGTAGGGACTTGTCTGTCTTTGTCACCCTGGAATCTTCAAGTCTATTACAGTCCCAGCATGTAGCTGGCGCTTATGAAATATTTGTTGAATGAATGAATGGGTTGTTAGATGGCAGTTCTATCTCTGGCTAATCCTCAACCTTTAGGGTTATTAATCATTGCTTATGTTCTTTCTTTTCTCTACTCACGCTCCTGTCTCCCACCTAAAAAGCACCAGTCCTCCGTCTCTGTTTTCTTTCTTGCCACTTCCAGTGATCATTATACAGTATAAATGCACTTTGGTACTGCCCTCACACAGGACAGCTTTCGTCCACCACCGAGATGGAAGTGAAAACTGGAAAGCTTTGGGATCCAGAAGGCATGGGGCCCCAGAGTGTAATGGGGAAAGGAACCTTAGTGGCCGCTTGATCTATGTCCCCAGCTGACGAGGACTCTCATGTTCCTACACTCTGGTGGGTATTTTGTTTTGTTGTTTGTCCACAGGAGGTATGGTGAGCTGCTGTGTCCCATGAAATGCTCTGGCCTACATACGTTTGGCGCCCACGGAAGATAGGGTGGTAGGTAGAACCAGTCCTGCTTTAGGTTAGATTCCAAGTAGGTCATATCACACCTTCAAAGAGAAAATCTCCCCTGCCCCATGCAAATGCACAGAAACCCACTCCCCAAAGAGGACCGTCACCTAGAAGGGTATCATGAAGAACTCCGGGAGCTCAAGTGAGGAGGCTCGAGGGGAGGTCCGTGTCCTTTTCTTGACTACCAGGGGCGGGACATGACGGTCTCCAGGTCTGAGCCTGAAGGCTGTGCCACCCTTTGAGGTGAGACCAGGGAGGACCTGGGACGCCTGGCTAAATTTGAATTCCAGATAGACAACAAATAAAGTTTTAGTATATCCCATACAATATTTTCAGGATAAGTATGTCCCACGTATTACAATATGAGACATAGTATACTAAAAAATTATTCATTGTTTATCTGAAATTCAAATTTAACTGGGTGTCCTGTATTTTATCTGGCAACCCAAGGGAGAAAGGTCCAGCATTTAAAATAAATGGCTTCCCTAGGGAGAAACGTTGGGATTTGGGGAAAAGAGAGGTCAGAGTGAGCTGTGACGTTTAGAGGGGAGGGATTAAATTGGTTCTTTCATGCCAATTAAGCAATCACAGACGACCCCGTCAGAACTCCAAGCTTGTGATTATCATGGGACACAAGACCGGAGGGAAAAAAAAAAAAAGTAATGTTAAGAGCCAGAAAAGCAGTCTTCCTATACCGTCAGCCAGCAGACGGAAGGGCTGTCTCATCAAGAAAGGTAAGAGTGTTGCCTGCTAACCCGTAATTGTCCGAATGTTCTTCGAGATCAGGGTTTGGGAGATTCTGGTGGGTTGTCCCACCCTCCCTTGTTGCCTCCCTGATGCTTGGTTGTTAACAAACAGAATTTCTCCTCAAAATTCTCCAACTTATGAGGGTTCGCTGATCTTCTCTCAGTCCTCCTAGACTTTGGAGAAGAAAAGCGGAGACCCAGGGAAAGCGGGTATTCAGGCTGGGAGAAGAGCCTCCCTGCTTTAGATGTGGTCTTCTGTCACCTAAAGGGTCGATTCTCTTGGCTTGGGTGGGATGACGTGCATTCGCTGTCCCCATAACGATTGCCATGGTGGTAGTCGTGGTTGAGCGGTAGAATTCTCACCTTCCATGCGGGAGACCTGGGTTCAATTCCCAGCCAATGCACAGCCACCACCCGTCTGTCAGTGGAGGCTTACGTGTTGCTATGATGCTGAACAGGTTTCAGTGGAGCTTCCAGACTATGAAAGACTAGGTAGAAAGACCTGGCGATCTACTTCTAAAAGTCAGCCCATGAAAGTCCTACGGATCACAGTGGTCTGATCCACAATAAAACGTGGGGATGGGGTAGGACCAGGCAGCATTTTGTTCCGTTGTCCATGGGGTGGTCATGAGTCGGGGGCTGACTCTCCAGAGCTGACACCACCAGTTGCCAAGGCTCTGAGCTTGAGGTACAGACTTACAAAAATGATTTAGCATATAATTAATTGAGTTTTGCATCTTTAATTTTGAACCCAGGTTTCCCCCCCTCTCCCTGGCATTACCCACCTGTGATGCCACTTCTCATTTACAGCTAGGAAGGGAAATTACAGATAAAATGCCCCCAGCGGAAAAGACTTGTGTAGTGAATCCCCTAGTCTGCTCTCCCACGTCTCCCCTGGTGGTTTCTTCCCGCTGGAGCTCATTCCTGTAACTCTGTGGGGATCAGAGCTTTGAAATTCCCGAGAACAATGAGGGGGAAGAGAAGTGCACAAGGGCAAGGAGAGACGCTTCCATTATTGGTTTCGAACACGCACACTTTAACATGACATTAAAGCTCATGAGTTATTTGTTGGACTGTTTTTATGTTTTATAGTTTTTTTTTTAAGTTCTTTTTTGTCTTTAAATCTTAGTCATGAGACTTGAGGTTCCTGGGTGATGCAAATGGTTTGCTCTCGACTACTAACCTAAAGGTTGGCAGTTCAAACCCACCCAGGAGCACGAGGAAGAAAGACTTGGCGATCTGCTTCCATAAAGATTAGAGTCAAGAAAACTCTATGGAGCAGTTCTACTCTGTCACATGGGGTCGCCATGAGTTGGAATCAACTCGACAGCAACGGGTTTTCATGAGTCTTGAACTAGGGAGAAGCAGAAATTGATTTAGATGTGGGGGCAGGAATTAGTAGACACAGGTCCACTTATTTTGGGTGGAGAATATGGATGAGCCAAGGCCCCTATACGGGCTGGTCCTTTTGGGAAAGTGGATTAGAAGGTGCCACGCTCAGTCGCTCTGCCTGCCACACCCATGACCAGCTGCACGCCAAGGGGACTCTGGGAAACCACATGACATTATCAGAGCCTTCTACCTGCCCAGAGTTGTTGTTGTGTGCCAGCCAGTCAGTTCTGACTCGCAGGGACCCCATGTGACAGAGTAGAACTGTCCCATAGGATTTCCTAAGTTGTAGTCTTTGCAGAAGCAGATCACCAGGTCTTTCTCCCAAGGAGCCGCTGGGTGGGTCCAAACCACCAACCTTTCAGTTAGTGGTCGAGTGTTGAACCATTTGCGCCACCAGGGCTCCTTTTTGTGCAGGGAGTGATATCAAGTAACAACACTGACGAGAAATAACTCCTTATTTTTCTAAACCACAGCCTTCGGCCAGGGAAGGTAAAGAATGAATAAAAATGCTGGGTTTTCTTCTCTCCACAGTTTATGTTATAGGGTCAAATTAAAGGCAAGGAGAACATCCCCCCACCCCCCACAATAATAACTCCGTTGGAGAGTTTTTGCTTTTGTTTGCAGTTTCTTCTTTGAGCTTACTTTTCAGTTGGTGGGAGGCGTTGGAGTCCTGGGTGGCACAAATGGTTAAGTGCTGGGCAACTAACTGAAAGGTTGGTGGTTTGAACCCACCCACAGGTGCCTCAGAAGAAAGGCCTGGCAAACTGCTTCCAAAAGGGCACAGCTATGAAAACTTACAGAGCAGTGGTACTCTGCACACAGGGGGTCGCCATGAGTCAGAATTGACTGAACGGCAACTGCTTTGATTTTTTTTTTTTTTTTGGTGGTGCAGGGGGAAGGGGTTAGAAACCTGAGCTCTTTCCAAGGCCCTTGATATCAAACCCTGAAAGAAGCAGGTATAAACCATCCCAGAGAGAGAAGCCAGGGGGCCGGGCTGTGGCTGCTGTCCACCTGGACAGAATGTCACTATGGGTCTTTAAGGGATGAGTGAGATACTTCAGTTGCATTTAAATGATGCCATGTGCCCCTTCCGTTAGGAGTCCTGACCCCACAAGATGCCAAGAGAAGACGCCCAGCTCATACATGGTTACCCCAGGAAGGGGCACGGCCATGCCTCCATCACAGCTGAAGAGTAAGTTCAAAAGCGGACGCGGAGGGGTTTCCGACGGCCCTTTGCTGACGCAGCCAGCCGACCCCCTGCTCACACTCCTTAAACCTCCCTAGTGTTCTCCCCTGAGGGTGAAAATCCTGGCCACAGGGTGAGGGGACCATGGTCCTACAGGCTGCTCCCTCAGGTTCTCTGAGGCCCAGCGGGCAGGGAGATGGGAATGTAGAAAGCTGGACCTTGCCTTTTTGTCTGCCTTCTCTGCTACTGGGTCCCTGGGTGGTACAAACGTTAATGCGCTCAGCTGCTAACTGAAAGTTTGGGGGTTTGAGTCCACCCAGAGGCATCTCAGAAGAAAGGCCTGGTGATCTACTTCTGAAAAATCAGTCATTGAAAACCCTGTGGAGCACAGTTCTACTCTGACACACATGGGGTTGCCAGGAGTCAGAATTGAGTTGATGACAATTGTCTCTGCCACTGGGCCTTGGCCTTAGGTTCCCAAGCTGAAAACCACCCAGCTTTTTTGGATTTAGATGCCTCTTTCCTCAATACTTAGATACAACCCATTTCTGCCTACTGTACTCAGACTTCTGAGGGTAGTTTGCAGAGCCAGTGAAGATGACGACAGGTGTGCGCACCTCAGCCTGCGGACTCCCTACCCAACAAAGACGGCAGTCATGATTGCGGCCCCGTAGCCTGAGCCCGAGGATGGGCACTTGGTATTAGGAATTAATTAAAAATAAATATTTATACAATTAACCGTTTCTAAGTGCTAAGCATTGGATAGGAGCCCTGGTGGCGTAGTGGTGAAGCGCTCAGCTGCTAACAGAAAGGTCACCAGTTCAAACCCACCAGCTGCTCCATGGGAGAAAGATGCAGCAGTCTGCTTCTGTAAACATTTACAGCCTGGGAAACCCTATGGGGCAGTTCTGTTCTGTCCTGTAGGGTTGCTATCAGTCAGAATCCACTCGATGGCAGTAGGTTTGGTTTTGGTTTTGGAAGCATTGGACGCTGGCCCAAGATCTTATTCTTATCTTTGGAAAATCACTCAGTCTAGTGGGAAAATCAGGCATGAGAATAGTGCCATCAAATGTATGTGCTGTAATGGGGAGCAGAGAGGCGGAAGGGGCACCCTGTGTGTATACTGGGAGTAGGAACGGGGTGGGGTGGGAGGGAAGGGGGTGGGGTGGGAGCAGGGGTGGATTAACCAGTAAGCGCAGTATGTACTGGCTTGCAGTAAGCAAGGTACACACGGGCTTAATTGTGTTTACTTACTAATCTCTAGTGCACACTTTCACCAGATTAGTAAGTAAGCACAATTAAGCCCATGCATACCTTGCTGACTGGGTAATCTGTCCCTTGGTGGGATGAAAGAGGGTGGGGTGAGAGGGAAGGGCTACACTTTTAGTGGGAATCAGACAGGACAAACAAGGAGCCAGGCTTTTATTTGGACTATCTTTTATGTGATCTGTTGGATAAAGTTCATTTGAGATAAAAGTCAGAGTCTCTCAAAAAATGAGGTAAACCCTTCCATGCCCTTGCCTGGATTTCGATGGGTTTTTCTCCCAAACTAAGAATATGGCACAGAGAAGGTTCTGACTAATCCCTCTGGTGTGATCTCTAGTTCTTTCTGAAGCACAGTTTTTATTAAGACAGCTGTGCAGGCTGTGCAAGAATGCCCACCTGCCTCCCCATCTCCTCTCAGGTTATCTGCTGGGGCTGGATGGCCTTCCCGAGGCCTCTCTGTCCTGAGATTCTGTGATTCTGGGAGAGGAAGTCTGTTGCTTCAAATGGGCAGAGACATGTAGTTAATCAGGAGAACTGCTGAGTGTCCCTACATTTACTCAAGGCTTGAGTCAGTGTTGCAGATTGAACCATGTCCCCCCAAAAGTTATGCAGAAATCCTAACCCCTGTACCACCTGTAAAAATGACTCTGTTTGGAAAAAAGAGTTTTCTTTTGTTATGTTAATGAGGTCATATTGATGTTGGGTGGGTCCTAAACCTCATTCTTTCTGAATGGTGTCTTCTAAGAAGGGAAAACAGACTGGGAGAGAAAGATGCCCACGGGGGGAGGGAGGGAGGGGAAATTGCGTAAGGAACTGTGTCCGAGCCAAGGTACCTAAGAAACGCCTAGGCACTTTGCCAAAGAAGATATTCAGGCGGCTAACAGACACATGAAGAAATGCTCACGATCATTAGCCACTGGAGAAATGCAGATCAAAACTACAATGAGATATCATCTCACCCCAACAAGGCTAGCATTAATCCAAAAAACACCAAACAATAAATGCT